GAACTGCGTCTCTGGTACACGGAGAAGATGTTTTCCCCAAAAGGGATTGACATGTTGTGACCGCCTTTAAAAACACATTCTTTCAAAGTCGATTTGCCTCCTCCATGTATACGTGCTGCACGAGAAACTTTACTCCATATTGTTTTCGGCTCCTTGAGTCTGTTTGGTGGTCAGGATCTGTGTCACTGCAGCTCTGACCTTCCCTGCAGCGGCACAGATCCTGAGTCACTTCACTTGACCTTCCTGTCTGGATCATTCCTTAACCTCTACTACTTCCATTGTACTTTTTTTTCTTTCTTAACAGGTAGCTAGAGCTCCGTGCTGCTTCCTGCGAGGAGGCTGCTTGCCCCGCCGCCCCTGTAATGCTGCCAGGGCTTCACAGCTTCTCTTTGCCATGTGAGGTTAAAAATTGAGGTTTGTCTTTAAAAAGACTAACCGGTTTCCAGCTTCATGATTCTTGGTCGTCTCATACTGGGCCAAGAGTCGGGGCTTTCTTTGACGGTTTCTTTCTTTCCGCTTTCATGGTATCAATTCACTCTGGACGTTTTTCATTCTGTTCCCCTCAGTTCTTTCAATAACCTTCTGACCATTCCCCAAGTCAATTCATCTCATCAGTTCTTGAATCCACTGGTTTATTTTCTGTTCACTCCCACCCAGGGCCAACCTGAGTGGTTCTGCCGGTTTGTGTTCTCTACCGATATGCTGTTGTTCCTCGTCCATGTTCTTCTCTGTTCTACTTTAACGGTTTAGAAATTGTATAGACTCGAAGCTATATTTAAAGAAAAATTGAAAGTAGCCAAGAGAAGAGAGAGGTGGAGTGAAACAGAGAGTGAGAGAGAGAGAGAGAGGAGAAGGAGAGAGGGCAGGGGGAGAGATAAAGGACATAAGAAAGGGGGTGAAGGAAACAGAGCGGTGACAAAGAGATCGTGGGTGATAAAGTGAGAATGGATGATAAAGAGAGAATGGATGATTAAGAGAGAATTAATGATAAAGAGACAATGGATGATAAAAAGAGAATGGGTGTGAAACAGAAGGATATCAGGAGATGAGGGAGTGTGTGAGGGAGAGGAAGAGTGACTGTGGAGAGAGAGGTTGGTCATGGAGAGTGTGTTAGAGTGAGAGATATTCACACTCAGGTACTAATCAGTTCGTGCGTCTGTCCGTATATCAAACTACGAATAATTTAAGTATTACAAAATGAACAACATGCAAGATGTCATAATTATATTAGTATGAATTATTCCATCACTGAGTTACAAGTAAAGTAGATAATATAATATAATTGTTTATTGATCTGATCTGTATCAACAAACAGCAAAATGGTTGACTCTGAGAACGCCGAGACACTCCTTCTGACGGCTCAAAGGCAGGCATAAACTGCTGTACAAAGATCATTTAAGCGTTCAGACAGACAAACAACTTCTACACCTCACCTTCGCCTCCTTATACAACCCGTCGAAACCATATAATAAAATCATTATCATTTTCCCAGTCATGTCTGGCACTGAAAGTGCTTCTCACAGTCGTATTGTGTTCTGAATAGGAGAGGCAGACATGTTTACCAGGTACGGGCTCACCCCTAAGTGTACCTGAAGGTTTACCAGGTACGGGCTCTCCCCTAAGTTTACCTGAAGGTTTACCAGGTATGGGATCATCCCTAAGTTTACCTGAAGGTTTACCAGGTAAGGGCTCACCCCTAAGTTTACCTGAAGGTTTACCAGGTAAGGGCTCACCCCTATGTTTACCTGAAGGTTTACCCTTCTCTAGGGCTACCACGAAACGATCTGGAAATACTTCACAATAAAAGTTTTTAACGCAAATTTCAGGAAAACTAATTTTCAATTACGTTCCTTGCTTTCTAATGAAATATAAATTCAAGAAACATTTTTCTATATGTGCTGTTGATGCAGTGTGACCTCGAGAGTTCTCAAGACAAGGTCACAGGCTCCGTCTCGACTCTGCCTTAGTGCCTAATGACCTCTACAACTTAAGCAATAGTTGTTATTGTCACAAATGTTCCTCAGTTAACTGCTGAATTGCTAAATGTTATCATTAGTGTTATTAGAAGCTGGTTCACGAAGTCGAGCCTCAGCGGTGGTACTTAGTGAGCGTATCTAGCTCCTTGATGAACCAAATCGCTTTAGGAGTGTGGCTTACAGTCAACCATTTGTCCTTAAGTAACTTAACATACAGGGCGTGTATATCATACTGAGGTCACACACCATAACATACAGGGAGTGTGGTCTATAGTGATGTATCTTAGACTATATTCCTGTTAAGGTTGTTTAAGTTAGAGCTCCTGGTCTCAGGTACACGTTTTTACTTTTCGTCCTCACGCATTTTAAACTTTTGTTTTGTCCGGGTACAGTCCCTGTCCCTTGGCCTTCCCGGGCAGGCTTCCCTGGGTGTGCTCAGTCTTCCCTGGGTGTGCTCAGTCTTCCCTGGGTGTGCTCAGTCTTCCCTGGGTGTGCTCAGTCTTCCCTGGGTGTGCTCAGTCTTCCCTGGGTGTGCTCAGTCTTCCCTGGGTGTGGTCAGTCTTCCCTGGATGTGCTCAGTCTTCCCTGGGTGTGCTCAGTCTTCCCTGGGTGTGCTCAGTCTTCCCTGGGTGTGCTCAGTCTTCCCTGGGTGTGGTCAGTCTTCCCTGGATGTGCTCAGTCTTCCCTGGGTGTGCTTAGTCTTCCCTGGGTGTGGTCAGTCTTCCCTGGATGTGCTCAGTCTTCCCTGGGTGTGCTCAGTCTTCCCTGGGTGTGCTCAGTCTTCCCTGGGTGTGCTCAGTCTTCCCTGGGTGTGCTCAGTCTTCCCTGGGTGTGCTCAGTCTTCCCTGGGTGTGCTCAGTCTTCCCTGGGTGTGGTCAGTCTTCCCTGGATGTGCTCAGTCTTCCCTGGGTGTGCTCAGTCTTCCCTGGGTGTGGTCAGTCTTCCCTGGATGTGCTCAGTCTTCCCTGGGTGTGCTCAGTCTTCCCTGGGTGTGCTCAGTCTTCCCTGGATGTGCTCAGTCTTCCCTGGATGTGCTCAGTCTTCCCTGGATGTGCTCAGTCTTCCCTGGGTGTGCTCAGTCTTCCCTGGGTGTGCTCAGTCTTCCCTGGGTGTGCTCAGTCTTCCCTGGGTGTGCTCAGTCTTCCCTGGGTGTGGTCAGTCTTCCCTGGATGTGCTCAGTCTTCCCTGGGTGTGCTCAGTCTTCCCTGGGTGTGGTCAGTCTTCCCTGGATGTGCTCAGTCTTCCCTGGGTGTGCTCAGTCTTCCCTGGGTGTGCTCAGTCTTCCCTGGATGTGCTCAGTCTTCCCTGGATGTGCTCAGTCTTCCCTGGATGTGCTCAGTCTTCCCTGGGTGTGCTCAGTCTTCCCTGGGTGTGCTCAGTCTTCCCTGGGTGTGCTCAGTCTTACCTGGGTGTGGTCAGTCTTCCCTGGATGTGCTCAGTCTTCCTTGGATGTGCTAAGTCTTCCCTGGATGTGCTCAGTCTTCCTTGGATGTGCTCAGTCTTCCCTGGATGTGCTCAGTCTTACCTGGGTGTGCTCAGTCTTCCCTGGGTGTGCCCAGTCTTCCCTGGGTGTGCTCAGTCTTCCCTGGGTGTGCTCAGTCTTCCCTGGATGTGCTCAGTCTTCTTTGATGTGCTCAGTCTTACCGGGGTGTGCTCAGTCTTCCCTGGATTTGCTCAGTCTTCCCTGGATGTGCGCAGTCTTCCCTGGATGTGCTCAGTCTTCCTTGGATGTGCTCAGTCCTACCGGGGTGTGCTCAGTCTTACCAGGGTGTGCTTAGTCTTCCCCGGGTGTGCTCAGTCTTCCCTGGGTATGTTCAGTCTTCACTGGATGTGCTCAGTCTTCCCATGATGTGCTCAGTCGTCCCTGAATGTGCTCAGTCTTACCTGGGTGTGCTCAGTCTTCCCTGGGTGTGCTCAGTCTTCCCTGGGTGTGTTCAGTCTTCCCTGGGTGTGTTCAGTCTTCCCTGGGTGTGCTCAGCCTTTCCTGGATGTACTCAGTCTTCCCTGTGTGTGCTCAGCCTTCCCTGGGTGTGCTCAGTTTTCCTTGGATGTGCTCAGTTTTCCCTGGATGTGCTCAGTCTTACCTGGGTGTGCTCAGTCTTCCCTGGGTGTGGTCAGTCTTCCCTGGATGTGCTCAGTCTTCCCTGGGTGTGCTCAGTCTTCCCTGGGTGTGCTCAGCCTTCCCTGGGTGTGCTCAGTCTTCCCTGGGTGGGCTCAGCCTTCCCTGGATGTGCTCAGTCTTCCCTGTGTGTGCTCAGCCTTCCCTGGGTGTGCTCAGTTTTCCTTGGATGTGCTCAGTTTTCCCTGGATGTGCTCAGTCTTCCCTGGATGTGCTCAATCTTCCCCTGGATGTGCTCAGTCTTCTCTGGATGTGCTCAGTCTTCTCTGGATGTGCTCAGTCTTCTCTGGATGTGCTCAATCTTCCCTGGATGTGCTCAGTCTTCCCTGTGTGTGCTCAGCCTTCCCTGGGTGTGCTCAGTTTTCCTTGGATGTGCTCAGTTTTCCCTGGATGTGCTCAGTCTTCCCTGGATGTGCTCAATCTTCCCCTGGATGTGCTCAGTCTTCTCTGTATGTGCTCAGTCTTCTCTGGATGTGCTCAGTCTTCTCTGGATGTGCTCAATCTTCCCTGGATGTGCTCAGTCTTCTCTGGATGTGCTCAATCTTCCCTGGATGTGCTCAGTCTTCTGTGGATGTGCTCAGTCTTCTCTGGATGTGCTCAATCTTCCCTGGATGTGCTCAGTCTTCTCTGGATGTGCTCAATCTTCCCTGGATGTGCTCAGTCTTCAGTGCTTAGTCTCAGTCGTTGTATAGAGAACCTCCTTTATATTCCCTTTGTTTTTATACTTGCAGCCTTTCACTTATTGCACTCATGACATCTCTTACTCCTCGTCTTTCTTGAGACGTTAAATCTCAAGTTCTTGGGATGAACGCTGTCGTCGTCCTCTGGGCTCGTTCAAGTTAATTTTTGTCCTTTCAATAGTCCAGAGACGTAATGTTAACTGTATAATATTAATAGGACGCAACATGGACCAGGTGAACCATGAGGAAAGTATTATATGTTTTATTGTTGAAGCTTCTACTTATAAATTCTGGTAACCTATATGTTTTATTGTGAATATTTCTGAAAGGATTTTTGGCATGGAGTACAAATAACATATATGGTATACATAGACGCGATAAAGACCCTAAATTATTGGGATCGTCTCAAAGCTCTCCAAATGTACTCACTAGAAAGGAGACGAGAGAGATACCAAATAATATACACCTGGAAAATACTGGAGGGACAGGTCCCAAATCTACACAGTAAAATAACAACTTACTGGAATGAACGATATGGAAGAAATTGCAGAGTAGAACCAGTGAAGAGCAGGAGTGCCATAGGCACAATCACAGAACACTGTATAAATATCAGAGGTCCGCGGTTGTTCAAAGTCCTCCCAGCAAGTATGAGAAATATTGCCGGAACAACCGTGGACATCTTCAAAAGAAAACTAGATAATTTTCTTCAATGAGTGCCGGACCAACTGGGCTGTGGTGGATATGTGGGCCTCAGGGCCGCTCCAAGCAAATATTTGCAAATAATGCTCTTCAATCGTAAATCGCTAATCCTCAGTTAACTCTCAGTTGACTCAGCTAACTCTCAGGTGTACTCTAACTTAGGATATCTACCCCAACACCATGAGCCTGTAACCTGCTAATGCATCACGCATGATGCATGACCTCATGCGTACCAAGCACCCCACCACCCAAGGCTTTGTTAAATTTAAGATAATAATATCGGAATCATTACCGCTATCAACCGCGTAAGATATACTTATAAAGAATGGAAATAAATTACTTAATCGTGAGCAGCCCTTAGTAAAAAAAATGTTGGGAATCCTTTCTTTATCAATGTTTTGAGATTATCAATTCAAGCAATTTTCCAACAGTAACGAAGAAGAGTTCGAGACAAGTGACCTGCCTCCCTTCCCCAAGCTCGGTACAACATTCACGTCCTCAGAGACAGTGGTACACTGCACGAGTCTTGACGTCTCAGTAAGTTCTTCTTTTAATAGTTTTCATGATCTCTGAGGCGTATGTCTCGTCTGGTGGTGTTTACTAACTCCTCTATGGTCGCCGCTGTAATTGTTAACTTGTCTTATTTACCTCCTCAATAAATTTGATTAGTTTCATCATAATGTTAAGTTCTTCTTTATTAAATATTGAGACAAAGCACATAGAAAATAATATCAATTAGCTTACCATTTACATGATTTTTTCAGTTATGTTCATTCTCTTCCTAAACTTTGTTGATATATGTGATAAACGGAGACTTGTCTCTGGCTTTATGCTGTAGGAACTTCATAATATATTTTATCTCTTTTAAAAAAAATTACAATTTGATAATTTTTTACTTTAGATTCACTTTACCAATTTTGTATTTCAACGTAATAATTTTTTACAAGGCTCTAGTCTCTTAGTTATCTATTTTATGTCACTTATATTTGACATGATGAATTTATACGGTATATTACGTTCGAAGGTTAACTATAAATATCTATATATGAGCTATAATTTAAATCCTCATCGTTATCCAGCATCACTTCACCCACCGCAAGGTACACGCTCACACAAGCACCGTGTACCCTCCTCAAGGAACTCCTCATTACCTCAAAATAAACTTTACTCAAATCTGAAAATAATCAGTCTAAAAAAAGCAGTCGTTTTTCAGTCGTTTTATTGCCCCTTCCTGTTGCGTCCCGTCTTGAAATCATCAGTCTGGAGCAAGCCGCTCTATCTCCATTAACCACTCATCCTCGTTCACATCCTTTGCTCTGGAGACCTTATAAATGGTTATCGAAAGTCTCTTCATGGTCTTCCTAAGACCATTTACCTGGGAAAAAATCTCTAATTAGATTTTTTTAACAAGGACGAAATCCGAGTTATCTTCTTCTAGTTACGACACAGTTCCTAAATTGCTTCTCGTCTTCCGGACGATGAGAGGAAATGTCAGCACTGTGCAGAAATGCCCGACAGACCACTGGAACATTATCTAACACAGTGATCAGTTACAACCACAGCAGACCACTGGAACATTATCTAACACAGTGCACACTTAAAAACACAACAGACCACTGGAACATTATCTAACACAGTGCACAGTTACAAACCCATTAAGATTTCAACTTAGATTCAACAGCGCAGATGATGCTAATAAACACATATGGCAAAATCTTACTGAAGCGACCATACGAGTCATAAATACTCACACTCAGCCCAAGTAAAACAGAAACAAGCAACACTTAAGCCCCAGCCAGAGACTTAGGGCCCGCGCAGGAATATCCCTTGAAAAGAAATGCTTCACGTCTTCCGTCAATTAGTCTAATGTGATGGTGATGGTAGTTGCCATCTCCAGTGTCCCACCCACCTGACCTGCCTCCATCTCCAGTGTTCCACCCACCTGACCTGCCTCCATCTCCAGTGTCCCACCCACCAGACCTGCCTCCATCTCCAGTGTTCCACCCACCAGACCTGCCTCCATCTCCAGTGTCCCACCCACCTGACCTGCCTCCATCTCCAGTGTCCCACCCACCAGACCTGCCTCCATCTCCAGTGTCCCACCCACCAGACCTGCCTCCATCTCCAGTGTCCCACCCACCAGACCTGCCTCCATCTCCAGTGTTCCACCCACCTGACCTGCCTCCATCTCCAGTGTCCCACCCACCAGACCTGCCTCCATCTACAGTGTTCCACCCACCAGACCTGCCTCCATCTCCAGTGTTCCACCCACCAGACCTGCCTCCATCTCCAGTGTCCCACCCACCAGACCTGCCTCCATCTGACCAGTGTCCCACCCACCAGACCTGCCTCCACCCACCACCCACCAGACCTGCCTCCATCTCCAGTGTTCCACCCACCCTGCCTCCATCACCCCTCCACCAGACCTGCCTCCATCTCCAGTGTCCCACCCACCAGACCTGCCTCCATCTCCAGTGTCCCACCCACCTGACCTGCCTCCATCTCCAGTGTCCCACCCACCAGACCTGCCTCCATCTCCAGTGTTCCACCCACCAGACCTGCCTCCATCTCCAGTGTCCCACCCACCAGACCTGCCTCCATCTCCAGTGTCCCACCCACCAGACCTGCCTCCATCTCCAGTGTCCCACCCACCAGACCTGCCTCCATCTCCAGTGTCCCACCCACCAGACCTGCCTCCATCTCCAGTGTCCCACCCACCAGACCTGCCTCCATCTCCAGTGTCCCACCCACCAGACCTGCCTCCATCTCCAGTGTCCCACCCACCAGACCTGCCTCCATCTCCAGTGTCCCACCCACCAGACCTGCCTCCATCTCCAGTGTTCCACCCACCAGACCTGCCTCCATCTCCAGTGTCCCACCCACCAGACCTGCCTCCATCTCCAGTGTCCACCCACCCACCAGACCTGCCTCCATCTCCAGTGTCCCACCCACCAGACCTGCCTCCATCTCCAGTGTTCCACCCACCACCTGACCTGCCTCCATCTCCAGTGTCCCACCCACCAGACCTGCCTCCATCTCCAGTGTTCCACCCACCAGACCTGCCTCCATCTCCAGTGTTCCACCCACCAGACCTGCCTCCATCTCCAGTGTCCCACCCACCTGACCTGCCTCCATCTCCAGTGTCCCCACCCACCAGACCTGCCTCCATCTCCAGTGTTCCACCCACCAGACCTGCCTCCATCTCCAGTGTTCCACCCACCAGACCTGCCTCCATCTCCAGTGTCCCACCCACCAGACCTGCCTCCATCTCCAGTGTCCCACCCACCTGACCTGCCTCCATCTCCAGTGTCCATCTCCAGTGTTCCCCCACCAGACCTGCCTCCATCTCCAGTGTCCCACCCACCATCTCCAGACCTGCCTCCATCTCCAGTGTCCCACCCACCAGACCTGCCTCCATCTCCAGTGTCCCACCCACCAGACCTGCCTCCATCTCCAGTGTCCCACCCACCAGACCTGCCTCCATCTCCAGTGTCCCACCCACCAGACCTGCCTCCATCTCCAGTGTTCCACCCACCAGACCTGCCTCCATCTCCAGTGTTCCACCCACCAGACCTGCCTCCATCTCCAGTGTCCCACCCACCTGACCTGCCTCCATCTCCAGTGTCCCACCCACCAGACCTGCCTCCATCTCCAGTGTCCCACCCACCAGACCTGCCTCCATCTCCAGTGTCCCACCCACCAGACCTGCCTCCATCTCCAGTGTTCCACCCACCAGACCTGCCTCCATCTCCAGTGTCCCACCCACCAGACCTGCCTCCATCTCCAGTGTCCCACCCACCAGACCTGCCTCCATCTCCAGTGTTCCACCCACCAGACCTGCCTCCATCTCCAGTGTCCCACCCACCAGACCTGCCTCCATCTCCAGTGTCCCACCCACCAGACCTGCCTCCATCTCCAGTGTCCCACCCACCAGACCTGCCTCCATCTCCAGTGTCCCACCCACCAGACCTGCCTCCATCTCCAGTGTCCCACCCACCTGACCTGCCTCCATCTCCAGTGTCCCACCCACCTGACCTGCCTCCATCTCCAGTGTCCCACCCACCAGACCTGCCTCCATCTCCAGTGTCCCACCCACCAGACCTGCCTCCATCTCCAGTGTCCCACCCACCAGACCTGCCTCCATCTCCAGTGTCCCACCCACCTGACCTGCCTCCATCTCCAGTGTCCCACCCACCAGACCTGCCTCCATCTCCAGTGTCCCACCCACCAGACCTGCCTCCATCTCCAGTGTCCCACCCACCAGACCTGCCTCCATCTCCAGTGTTCCACCCACCTGACCTGCCTCCATCTCCAGTGTACCACCCACCTGACCTGCCTCCATCTCCAGTGTTCCACCCACCAGACCTGCCTCCATCTCCAGTGTTCCACCCACCAGACCTGCCTCCATCTCCAGTGTACCACCCACCAGACCTGCCTCCATCTCCAGTGTACCACCCACCAGACCTGCCTCCATCTCCAGTGTACCACCCACCAGACCTGCCTCCATCTCCAGTGTCCCACCCACCAGACCTGCCTCCATCTCCAGTGTCCCACCCACCAGACCTGCCTCCATCTCCAGTGTCCCACCCACCTGACCTGCCTCCATCTCCAGTGTCCCACCCACCTGACCTGCCTCCATCTCCAGTGTCCCACCCACCTGACCTGCCTCCATCTCCAGTGTCCCACCCACCTGACCTGCCTCCATCTCCAGTGTCCCACCCACCTGACCTGCCTCCATCTCCAGTGTCCCACCCACCTGACCTGCCTCCATCTCCAGTGTCCCACCCACCACCACCCACCAGACCTGCCTCCATCTCCAGTGTCCCACCCACCTGACCTGCCTCCATCTCCAGTGTCCCACCCACCTGACCTGCCTCCATCTCCAGTGTCCCACCCACCTGACCTGCCTCCATCTCCAGTGTCCCACCCACCTGACCTGCCTCCATCTCCAGTGTCCCACCCACCTGACCTGCCTCCATCTCCTGTGTACAAGAACAAGATAACAACTAAACCAGCAAAAATGAGACACGCGTTTCATAACGGGGTCTAATACTTACTGTAACACGCACAGGTTACTCACACCCGTCACACTTCATCCACACACCTCGCCCACACATCTGCCACACCTCTCCCTCCATCATTCACACACCTGCCACACCACACCTACCACACATTGAGTGACATACAATCTCCCTCCTCACCACCCCACTCACCCTCTCTCTCTTGCCCTCTCTGTTTCTGTCTCTCTCTCTCTCTCTCTCTCTCTCTCTCTCTCTCTCTCTCTCTCTCTCTCTCTCTCTCTCTCTCTCTCTCTCTCTCTCTCTTGCTCAACACTCTCTCTCTGTCTTGCTCACACTCGATCTTTCTCCCTCACTTTCCCCTTTGTCTGAAAGGGACAAAGATGGCAGGAGGACGCACCAGGGATACAGGGAAAAGTCAAAGTGACTAAACGAAGGAAATTTCAGCCCAAGTTTAGAAGAAATTCAGGAAGGAGATGCATTAAATGTAGAATACAATTAACAACCTGCAAAGTGAGCTGACAGCAACAAAAGAGGAGAATCCCTCACAGAAAAATAATGAGACTGAGCATCAGATAATCATCCAAAGGGAAGATGGAAATGACGCATTGGAAGGAAATGCCTCTGTGCCTGAAACATTTGAGGAAATACCAAAAAGAGTACAGAAACAATGGACACAGTGAGGGAGGTAGCCATGCAAGCAGCTACCTCACAGGAAGCAGCAAGGTGCACCAGTCAGCTGATGGAAAGAAAAAGATCAGTGGTAGCTGTAGGCATCAAAGAACAGGAAGGCTCCAAAAGGCAAGAATGGAATAGCAAGGACAGAGAGGCAGTAAAGGGAATACTAAAGAGGTTAAAGATGAAAGGGGCTGAACAAAACATTGAGAAGGTTTTCAGGTTAGGAAGAACCTGAAAACTTGTTTCCCAGTTCAAGAACTGGGAAACAATGGGCTGGCGTACGGAAAGGAAAATTATGAGACAGAGATGAGACAATTCCTAAGGGATTTACCATGGGACACAGAACTCAGAACTAAGTCCGTACAAGACATGATGGACTATGTCACCCAATAGTGTAAGGAGGCAGTGAACAGGTTTATCTCGGTCCGGCAGAAAAAAAAAGAGAAGCAAAAGAAGAATCCTTGGTTTAATAAGGCATGTATGAAAGCAAAGGAACTGAACAAAAGGGCGTGGAGGAGCTTAAGAAATGTTAGTGTGAGAAGAGAAGCTGAGACAAAGTATGAAAGTGATATAACTAATAAAGCCAAGACCGAACCAAAACTACTACACAGTAACACCTGGAGGAATACAACAGTGCAGGAAAAAGTGATAAAACTTAGAACGGGTGAGGACAGGTACACAGAGAATGACAAAGAGGTGCGTGAGGAACTCAACAAGAGGGTCCCAGAAGGTCTTCACAATAGAACAAAGTGAAGTCACTGAGCTAAGAGAGGTGGCAGTAAACCAGGCGGCCTTGGAAGGGGTTGAAATTACAAAAGATGAGGTCAAGAGGCATCTGTTGGATCTGGATGTGAGAAAGGCTGTTAGCCTGGACGGAATCTCGCCATGGGTATTGAAAGAGTGTGCAGGAGCGCTTTGATGCCACTCTCCATAGTGTATAGTAGGTCACTGGAAACGGGAGATCAAATTTAAAAAATCTGATCAAAAACTAAATTCTTACTTTTAAATTCTATTAAGCCTTACAGGCTTAATAGAATTCTACGATCAGGTGACAAAGATTAAGCAAGAAAGAGAAGGATGGGCGGACTGTATTTTTTTGGACTGTCGGAAAGCCTTTGACACAGTACCCCATAAAAGGCTGATGCATAAGCTGGAGAAACAGGGAGGAGTAACTGGTAGGGCGTTCCAGTGGAAAAGGGAGTACCTAAGCAATAGGAAGCAGAGAGTTACAGTGAGGGGTGAGACCTCAGAATGGCGTGAAATCACCAGTGGAATCCCACAGGGCTCTGTACTCGGACCTATCCTGTTTCTGATATACGTAAATGATCACCCAGAGGGTATAGACTCATTCCCCTCAATGTTTGCTGACGACGCCAAAATTATGAGAAGGATTAAGACAGAGGAGGACAGCTTGAGGCGTCAAGAAGACATGGACAAGCTGCAAGAATGGTCGAACAAATGGTTGTTCGAGTTTAGCCCAAGCATATGTAATGTAATGAAGATAGGCGTAGGGAGCAGTAGACCAGATACAAGGTTCATTTGGGAGATGAAATACTTCAATAGTCAGAGAGAGAGAAAAACCTGGGAATTGATATCATGCCAGACCTGTCCCCTGAAGCCCATATCAAGAGGATAATATCAGAGGCATATGCCAGGTTGGCTAACATAAGAACGCCCTTTAGAAAGTTGTGTAAGGAATCTTTCAGAACTTTGTATATCACATATGTCAGACCAATCCTGGCGTATGCGGCTCCAGCATGGAGTCCATATCTAGTCAAGCATAAGGCTAAACTGGAAGAAGTTCAAAGGTTTGCCACCAGACTAGTACCCAAACTGAGGGGTATGAGCTACGAGGAGAGACTACGGGAATTAAACCTCACGTCACTGGGAGACATAAGAGTTAGACGGGACATGATCACCACATACAATATTCTTAGAGGAATTGATAGGGTAGATAAAGACAGACTATTTACCAGAAGGGGCACACGCACTAGGGGACACTGATGGAAATTGAGTGCCCAAATGAGTTATAGAGACATTAGAAAGATTTCTGTCAGTGTCATAGTAGTAGACAAATAGAATGCATTAGGAAGTGATGTGACTCCATACACAGCTTCAAGTGTACATATGATAGAGCCCAGTAGGCTCAGGAACCTGTACATTAGTTGATTGACAGTTGAGAGGCGGGACCAAAGAGACAGAGCTCAACCCCCGCCAGCACAACTAGGTAAGTACAACTAGGAAAGTACACCTCTCCATCCATCCACCATCCACACACCTGCCACACTTCTCCATCCATTATTCCCACAACTTCACTATTCTCTTCCTCAATCCCTAAAAACCATTATTCCTCTGACATAAAACTTAATTTTGACTTAAAAAGCAAATTTTCTGTGTTGTGTTAACGCTTTGATGAGTTGGTGCGGGCTGGGTACTATTGTCTAAGGTAATTAGTCTCTTAATCTCTCCCTTCTCCTCTCTCACTCTTACTCTCGCTCTCTCTCTCTCTCTCTCTCTCTGTCTCTCTCTCTCTCTCTCTCTCTCTCTCTCTCTCTCTCTCTCTCTCTCTCTCTCTCTCTCTCTCTCTGTCTCTCTCTCTCTCTCTCTCTCTCCTCTCTCTCTCTCTCTCTCTCTCTCTCTCTCTCTCTCTCTCTCTCTCTCTCTCTCTCTCTCTCTCTCTCTTCTCTCTCTCTCTCTCTCTCTCTCTCTCTCTCCTCTCTCTCTCTCTCTCTCTCTCTCTCTCTCTCTCTCTCTCTCACACCTTCTATCTCTTACCCTCTTTCCCTTTCACTCTCACTCTCTCTCACTCAATCAATTTCTCTTTCATGGATGACCCAATCCAGGGGACTCCAGCATCTGCCAGTATCTCCTTCATCTTCCATCTCCTGGAACATGTGGTCTCTATTGATCTAGTGACCTCTGAAGTCCCATTACCCATTCTCAACCTGGCTTGTTCCTTCTGTTCTGAAGACGACCAAGTGTTCTGTATATCCCGCTGACTCCTCCGGCCTCTACATATTTTAAAAGCTGGTTCGTCTGATTCTTCACCGTTGGATGGAAAGGCTTCCAGCCCCGGCAGAGTGACTTGGCAAGGGAAGTGCAGCAGAGTCACGTCAAACCTCAGCAACCTTGATTCAACAAACACTTGGGTTTGTTGGTTGGGACTACGGAAGGGGTTCAGAGCCTCGTCCAGTCCTTCACATTCACTAACAAAGTGGTGATGATTTCAAACTGGGTGGTGTTTTATTTTCTCTTTGATGATTAGTCGTTTTCACTGTAACTTTCGATGAGCGAGAGTGAATCTCTCGTGTTCGAAGGCCGGAGAACATAATAACAATCACGTTAATTGTATCACCGCAATATCTCGTGTATAACTTTACCGGGTTTCTTTAGGATTAAAGAATATGGTTTCTTTCTTCCTTATGTATACCGGCCAAATATTCTGGTTTCTCTTCGGAACCAAGAGGGGTTGTTATGTCAATTGTCTCTTTCTTTTCTATTAGTGATCCTCAGGATTTTAATATAAATAATTTAAATTCCGTGAATCTCACACACATCTTGCCGTTGACGTTTGGGCATCTTCGCCGGTTGATCATGATTTAATTAATATATTGATATTCATTTGTTCCTGGTTTGTGCTTGGATGGAGTTGACTGTTTACACATGAGGGACACTGAGGACATAACGTCCCTAAAGTGTTTAGAGGGTAGTATACTTTTGTTCATGTGAGTTAAGATATGTTATCTCCAGCATGTTGGAGTGTAGGGGCCGCTAGAGCACTGAAAGCAAACAGAAGAACGATCATGAACGTTCCGTAGGTCCTGTGCTCGGTCAATGTTATTATTCGCTGTGTGATTACTCATTGTTCTGATGAAGGTTATTACAATATAAAAACTAAAATAACATTTCTAAAGTAACTAAAAACTAAACTAAAAACTAAAGTAACATTTCTGGCGACCAGGATCAGCCAGAGGAGACTTTCTGGGGACTCACGGGACACTAAAGCTGCGGTTATCCCTTCGTATTCACAGCTCCCAAGTCTGCTGAAAAGTTTCATAATAAAAAGCTTAATAATCCGCACAACGAGACCTGAGCTTTCATTCGCATCAAAGCAGCATAAACAACACCGAAGTCTACACAATAATATGCCCATCATATATCGACATATACAGTTTAACATATATTTATTATAAATATATATATAACCCAAATCTATAGATAATGGAGGAAGAAATGAAATGACTTCAGTATTCCTTACGCTTCTTGGAGAACAAGAACATATTCACACGAGTGAACAGCAAAGTGAACAAGATTAAGGCCTCGGACCTTATATCATGTTATAACACTGAACACAGCTCGAACTCAAGTTATGATATATTTGACCTAATTACTGCAATTCACGAATGTCCTTTTGAAACAAAAATCGACAAAGAGTTTTATAGCGACTGTCTATCAGAATTTTCTACGTAATCCCGAGTTAATTAATATTATGTGGATTCATTACCTGTGTTCGACAAATTGTCTGTAAAGTTGGTTGCTGGTCCGGGTGTTTTACGTGAGTATTCGACCATCGATAACAAGGAAAAACATAACTCCATCAGCGATAATTTATTCCTAGGCTAACTGGCATCTGATACACGATAACTCAACCAGTAGACCCACATGATATCAAGTTAACTCAACAGGTAGACCCACATGATATCAAGTTAACTCAACAGGTAACGCACATGATATCTAGTTAACTCAAAAGGTAAACGCACATGATATCAAGGTAACTCAACAGAAAGACACACACAAGATATCAAGATATCTCAACAGGTAGACACACACACATGATATCAAGTTGACTCAATAGGTAGACGCACATGATATCAAGTTAACTCAACAGGTAGACGCACATGTTATCAAGTTACCTCAACAGGTAGACTCACATGATTTCATGTTAACTCCACAGGTAGACTCACATGCTATCACGTTAACTCAACATGTAGACACACATGATATCAAGTTACAGCAGGTAGACCCACATGATATCAAGTTAACTCAACAGGTAGACTCATGATATCAAGGTAACTCAACAGGTAGGTACACATGATATCAAGTTAACTCTACAGGTAGACGCACATGATATTAAGTTAACTCAACAGGTAGACTCACGTGATATCAAGTAAACTCAACAGGTAGACTCACATAATATCAAGTTAACTCAACAGGAAGACGCACATGATATCAAGTTAACTCAATAGATAGGCACACACATGACATCAAGATAACTCAACAGGTAGACCCACATGATATCAAGTTAACTCAACAGGTAGACCCACATGATATCAAGTTAACTCAACAGGTAGACTCACATAATATCAAGTTAACTCAACAGGAAGACGCACATGATATCAAGTTAACTCAATAGATAGGCACACACATGACATCAAGATAACTCAACAGGTAGACACACACAAGATATGAAGATAACTAAACAAGTAGTCACACACAAGATATCACGTTAACTCAACACGTAGACACACACATGATATCAAGTTAACTCAACAGGTAGACACACACACGATATCAAGTTAACTCAACAAATAGACACACATGATATCAAGATAACTCAACAGGTAGACAAACACATGATATCAAGATAACTCAACAGGTAGACCC